AAAAAAAAAAACTATTTTCCAACAAATAAACAATATTTTATTTTAAAAATAAACACATTAGAATAAAAAATAATAAAATTTCATTAGCTTTGGAGTTGAAGTTTGTTTATGAAAAACATTTATCTGATTTTAATTATATTTCCTAACTATGCAAATATCGTAAATAGTGTTTGTTTATTTTTTTACAGTAAAAAAAACATTAATATGTTTAGTTAAAAAATTAAAAATAAATATATTTTTCAAATAAATTTCAAATAAATTTTTATATTAAAAATTACATAAATATAGATCTCTTATTTCCATTATTATTGTTGTCCAGCAATTCACAACGGGTATGATAAATAACAACTAAAGTATATAAAAAAAAACTATTTAAGCTTATTTAATATCTAAAGTATATAAAAAAAACTATTTAAGCTTATTTAATATTTTTCTAGTTTTTTAAACTACATGAAAGTTAACCCAATCAGTTTATTACATCTAAAAATAATATAAACAACCAGTAATAACATAATTTAACTAAAAAAATAAAAACAATATTTAAAAAAATATATATAAAAATAACAACATATTATATCTATCCTAGTTAGCCCATGATAAATACATTTAAAATAAATTAAAATAAACTATAAAACTTAATTTTCACTCAATCTAATATTAAAAATTAAAATTAAAAAAATAATTAAAATGAACCAAAACAACAATTCAAGCCAACTACAAAATTTGAAAAGTTTTTTTTTTTTTTTTGGACAAACCCTTATTACGAGATCTTGATCCTTGAGATCAAAACTGTTACTTCATCAAATTTCTTGTTCTTGAACTTCATGTATCCATATCTTACATCTTTGATGATTTCCATGAATGATTTTATTCTGCTGAAGCATATCTAAACCTCGCACACACATTTATATGTATTTGTTAAATCATTCGAAAACATAATTATCCAAATATAATATAATAAACTCTATGCAAATAAGATAAAACAAGAGTTTATGACAAGTTAACTTTTGAGCTCTTATTAAATACACTATAAAAAGGAAATCAAACAAAAAACAAGAAGTAGTAAGAGCAGCGAACAAAGTGAAATTAAAATCCGCATATTCTACAAACAGAATTGTATTTGCAACAGCTTGAAATGATAATAAGATCTCAAATGCAATCGCATATCTTTTCTGGATATGCCTAATGTAATCATCACAGGTTCACGACAACAATTCATCGAAAAACTAAATAGAGAAAGAAAAATGGTGCAGAAAAACCCACAGCCACCCAAATTAAATGTCCCATTTCACTTGAGAGGAATGAATCTGGAAGCGTGTGTCCAGGTCTTCCATGCATAACGGGCTTGTAAGAAACTGAGAACCCAGCAAGATAATGGCAAATCATCTCGGGCACAATGATCATATTTCTAAGATGAGTGCTGAAGGGCTCTCTGGCTTCTCACCATCTGGGGCCTCCCTTTTCGGTTCCAAGCCACCGAAAAACAGAGTAGACCACAGACTATACTCGAAATATACCATATCATGAGGGTTTAACCAGAAATTTAAAATTTTCTTGTAAGGCAACTTGATTTAGGGGCCAGCTTTAGAATCTCTCTTTCTAAATGGTCACAGTTTGATGCATTTATCACAAACAAGTCCCGAATGCAGCAATCTTTATCAATCACTTATTTTGTACAGCTTTACCAACGTAAATTGAAAATTCAGTGCCCTGCACATACATGCTTGCAAGCATGAAAGGGCATGGAAACATGCACACACTACATGCACACTGAAACTTGCACATGACATAACTTTTGCAGAAGTTATAACACAGAGGCAGTCATCAGAACTCTATTCAATTAGTAGCTATACATATCGTTTCTAGCTTCTATCGAATAAACCAGCCCTTCTGTTATGAAACCAAGAGCTTCTTTTTCGATAACTTTGTTAAGTTTTCAAAGTTCTCAAAAGCTTTTAATTATCCGGCAATGCATTCTTTAGGATGAAAATGAAAATTAGAAGGAAAAAATATTAACCTGTTTCTCTCGTACCCATACAGGGAATATATATGATTGGATGACTATCATGATGCTGACTCACATACTCGAGCAAACGGCCAAAAACACAATGAATTTTCTCAAGCAGAAAACCAAGATAAATGCTTGTTTTCTCATGTCATCAAACATTTATAGCTGAGAGAAGCCAGCAAGAAAGCAAAGCATGATTTCCTCTAAATCCTATCTAACTGATTCTAGCAAATTAACAAACGATTGATGGTCCACGAACATCATTTATTTTGGTTTATTTTTTGTCACAACTGCAGCCTTACCACCATACTTCACACGGTCTATTCTATGGCATGTACTAGCCACAATTTTCAAGCCACGTGATACGAAAGCGTAAACATATACATGAAGAAAAAAAATTAACCAGCAGCAGCAAATTTATCACATCACCAATAAGTCACAAGTCCCAATCTCGAACACCACGATTGCAATTGCAGATCGATCTTGATGAACACAAACAAGCGACAAAGACTGAAGAGATAAAGAAAAGAAAACACATCCCATAATGTGAAATGAACACATGATAACACTACTCAATACCAAATTGCACAGTGTGAATTGCTGTCTTATGAAGTCATAAGCAAATACAGAGAGATGTAGAAGAAAAGAAATTATCTTACAGCTTTACGCAATTTCTTGATCGATGCCATTGGCTTCCTCTTCACACCTCTTTGAAACCTGTCGTTGCAATAAACCCAAAACCCTGAACAAATTAAAAATAATGAGAACAAAAGAATGAGAACTAACAACCCATCTAAAATTTCTCCACTTTCTAATCCCAAAATCTTATTACCTGCAGCGAGCTCTGGAGGTAAAGAGCTTGACAAGTACATCGGTGGACATGTCAGGGAGAGCATCCAAATCAACGCCTCTATAACTGAACTTCTTAAAAGCTATCTTCTTTGGCTACCCTCTCGCCACTGGTACTTTCGTCTCCACACCCACCTGATAAAAAATATATATATGAGAAAGGAAGCCATTGAAGGAAGCAAGCGAGAGCAAAGGAGCGGAGATTAGAAAAAAAATTTGGACCATTTCTCGATTTGTGCGTGTCATCCTTGCGCAGGGGCCATGCTAATCTTCTCTGTATCGTTCCAATTTTATCGGATGTCCCCGAAGGGACAACCTGTCGCTTGTTCTTCGCCTACTTAAAGTTTTTATGTGTTCTCTAACCAGACGATGTGGGATATCTAGTCCCGTTGCGACTACACGTTTCGCTCAGTTGGGTTGGCTCTCAACTTGATTACGTCACCGGCAGGAAGCAGTTAATGAGCCTTGTCTTGAGGCGATGAAATGGTTTTAGATGTCGTGTCACCCACCAGTGTCGACGCCTTTTGCCAAATGGCGCAGTAACTACTGGTTTAATAAAAAAATAAAATTTACTTAATTAAGTTTAAAACATATTAAAATCAGTTTAAACAATAATTTGTTTCGATGTTCATAACAAATATCCTTTTATTTTGGTCTCAATTCTCAATATTATGTTAATATCTCTATACATAATTTATTTTAAAAAAAACATCAAAATAAAAAATAAAAAAATTTATTAACTTCAAAGTTGAAGATTGTTTATGAAAAACAGTTTCATAATTTCAATTATATTTTCTAGTTATGCAAATATCATAAATAGTTTTTATTTATTGTTTCATTATTTAGTTAAAAAAACATTGATGAAAATATAAAATAAATGCATCTTTATAATAGTTTTGAAGTAAACTTTTTATGCTTTCAAAATAAAAGGTATATTGAAATATATTTCTTTTATTTTCATTGTTTCTATTTCTATTGATGTCTTAAAATTATCTAGGTTTAGATAAAAAAATTTAAAATAAAAAAATTCAAGATTATTTAATATTTTTTAGTAAAAAAAATTTAAATCATATAAAAATTGATTCAATAATTTTTTATGACAAAAGTTTGATTTAAACAAATTTAAAATGATATTTTTTAAAAAAAATATTAAAACAATAATATATTAAATCAATCCCTGTTAACCTTTTAAATCTCCAACAACTCATGAGACTATAGTAACTCTATATAAAAAAAATCAAAACAAATTATAAAATTCAATTCTCAATTAACCTAATTTTCAATCAAACTAAAATTATAAAATAAAATTATAAAAAATAAAAAAAATAAAAAACAACCCAAAACCAACTCCATAAAGTCAAAAAATGTTTATTGGCCAACCCTCTTGATCCTTAAGATCGAAAACTGTTAATGTATTAAGTTTCTTGTTCTTGAACTTCATATATCCATACCTTTTTTTCTTAATGATTTTCTTGAATGATCCAAATATAATATCATAAACTTCATGTAAATAGGTTTTGAGATCGAGACAAGTTCATTTTTGGGCTCTTATCAAATACACTATAAAAAAGAAATCAAACAAAAAACAAGAAGTAGTAAGAGCAGCGAACAAAGTGAAATTAAAATCCACATATTCTACAAACAGAATTGTATTTGCAACAGCTTGAAATGATAATAAGATCTCAAATGCAATCGCATATCTTTTCTGGATATGCCTAATGTAATCATCACAGGTTCACGACAACAATTCATCGAAAAACTAAATAGAGAAAGAAAAATGGTGCAGAAAAACCCACAGCCACCCAAATTAAATGTCCCATTTCACTTGAGAGGAATGAATCTGGAAGCGTGTGTCCAGGTCTTCCATGCATAACGGGCTTGTAAGAAACTGAGAACCCAGCAAGATAATGGCAAATCATCTCGGGCACAATGATCATATTTCTAAGATGAGTGCTGAAGGGCTCTCTGGCTTCTCACCATCTGGGGCCTCCCTTTTCGGTTCCAAGCCACCGAAAAACAGAGTAGACCACAGACTATACTCGAAATATACCATATCATGAGGGTTTAACCAGAAATTTAAAATTTTCTTGTAAGGCAACTTGATTTAGGGGCCAGCTTTAGAATCTCTCTTTTCTAAATGGTCACAGTTTGATGCATTTATCACAAACAAGTCCCGAATGCAGCAATCTTTATCAATCACTTATTTTGTACAGCTTTACCAACGTAAATTGAAAATTCAGTGCCCTGCACATACATGCTTGCAAGCATGAAAGGGCATGGAAACATGCACACTGAAACTTGCACCCAAAATAACTTTTGCAGAAGTTGCACCACAGAGGCAGTCATCAGAACTCTATTCAATTAGTAGCTATTCATATCGTTTCTAACTTCTATAGAATAAACCAACCTTTCTGTTATAAACCCAAGAGCTTCTTCTTTAAGTTTTCGAAGTTCTTAAAAGCTTTTAATTATCCGGCAATGCATCATTCTTTAGGATGAAATTGTTTTCTCATGTCATCGAACATTTCTAGCTGAGAGAAACCATCATGAAAGCAAAGCATAATTTCCTCAAAATTCTATCTGACTGATTCCAGCAAATTAACCAATGATTGATGGTCCAGAACGTTACCAGCTGATTTATTTATTTTTATTTCATTTTTTGTCACAACTGCAGCCTTGACACCATGTCCTGTACTAGCCACGATTTTCAAGCCACATGATACTAAAGCGTAAACATACAAAAGAAAATAAAAAAATGACCAGCAGCAGCAAATCCAAATATCGAGCACCATGATTGCAATTGCAGATCAAACTTGATAAACGCAAACAAGAGACAAAAGGTGAAGAGATAAAGAAAAGAAAATATATCCCACAATGACAATTCACTACTCAATACCAAATTGCAGTGTGATTTGCTATCTTATGAGGTCATAAACAAATACAGAGAGATATAGAAGAACAGAAATTATCTTACAACTTTACGCAATTTCTTGATCAATGCCATTGGCTTCCTCTTCAAACCTCTCTGAGACCTATCATTGCAATAAACCCAAAACCCTAAACAAATTAATATCAACAAAAAATAAAAACATGAGAACTGAACTTCTTCAAGGAGAGCATCTAAATCAGCGCCTCTGAACTGAACTTCTTGAAAGCTCTCTTCTTTGGCTACCCTCTCGCCACTGTTACTTCCGTCTCCACACCCACCTGACATTTGAAAAAGAACAGGAGAAAGGAAGCCAGCAAGAGAGCAAAGCAGCAGAGATAAGAAAAAAAAATTTCGACCATTTCTCGATTTGTGCGTGTCATACTTGCGCAGGGGCCATGCTAATCTTCTCTGTATCGTTCGAATTTTATCGGATGGCCCCCCAGGGAGAACCTTCACATCTTAGCTTCCCCAATATAAACACTTCATGTGTTCTCTAACCAGACAATGTGGGATATCTAGTCCCGTTGCGACTAGGCGTTTCGCTCAGTTTGGTTGGCTCTCAACCTGATTACGTCACCACCAGTAAACAATTGGTGGGCTGGACTTGGGGCGATGAAATATTTCAGCCCCGCCTTGTTTTAGGTGTCACCCGCCTGTATCGACGCCTGTTACTTAATTCAGTTCAAGATATATTAAAATTAGTTTAAACTATAAAATTCTCAAAAACAAATATTCTTTTATTTTGGTTTCAATTCTTAATATTGTGTTCTTATTTTGACTTTAGGAGCTATTATTTTGAATTATACGATATATGAGAAATATTGTAGAAATATAACTAAAACGAAGAAAAGAGTGTCCGGAGTATACACCAAAATATGATTTCTCTTTTCTTTTCAAGAATTAAAGAGGGCTAGAAACCATTTTAAACTTTTGATCAAAGATTTTTAACTGTTATGAGACTGTTTAGCAAACAGAGAGCTGAACTGTGTGTATGTTCGGAACTCAAAATTCCCTAGCATGAAAATATAGAAAGAAAAGTTCTTTTGTTTTTCTTCAGATGTAGTGTTGTTTCCTTCTATTCTAAAATCAAGTTGTTAGTATTTATCTTTATTCTAAAAATTAGAAAGTTTTGAATTTAGACATTACACTTCATTGCTCTGAGCCTTCAACAAGGTTTTCTGCACCAACGCCATATCTCATTTATGCGACACTGCATTGATCTAAACAGCATTGACAGCATCGGAAAAAGGCTGGTGACCATGCTCCCCTTGTCCTGTACAGAATTTATCAAATGATTAAACACCAATGCTTTTTCTCTCATTCCCTGCATGATTGCGACATTTCTTGTTCGGTTGCTTGCAGTTCAATTATACTTCAACAGCAGAAAAGAGCAACTCTTTCGTTTCTTGACAGAGGTACATACAATGTGTCTGGAACAAGAAATCTACAATGGTTGCCAATATAATACGTTAAAGATGCTTCAGTACTGCCCAGCTTTTGGGCACACAGATTTGTTCATATTGTTACCTACTACTGAAACTACATAATTTTGTAGAGATTAATTCACGTCCTTCTTCGGATAATCAGTATGAAGAGGGTTGCATCGCCAGGGAAGAAGGCTGTAGCAGTGAAGCCAAAGAGTGTGAAATCGCTGACGGTGAAGAAAGGAGTGACCAAGAAGGCGAAGAGGTGAAGATATCCATTTAGGGTTTGTAGAGAGGGTAGTGATTGTAAGTTTGATGGATGACGGAGGAGAGTGATGCTAGTTCGTTAGCGGTAACAGAAATGTTATTTTTCAGGCTATTTTTAAGCTTCATTAAATTAAATATATGGTATTTTTAATCATTGTAATTTTAGTGTCTTTATATACATACATATATATATATATAGCGAAAAAATGTCATTTTCTGATGGTGTTCTTCAATGGCGTTTTGTCTAACGTGCGCTCTGTTTGTCAGCGTGCTGCAGCGATCAGTGATTGCTGATACGCAAAGGAATGTCATTCAATAATAATGGTTTTGTTTTTTATTAAAAGAAATGTAATTTTAATATATTTTTAATGAAAGGAATTCATTTTTGTTCTTTATAAACGAACATGTCTGCATGAGGGCAAATGTTATTTTTATTAAGAAAATGCGTGGTAAACATATCTCCTAGAAAAGATGGGTCTGGTCTTCCGCAGTGGCTCTCCTTCATGCCAAGTACAACTTCTGCGTGTTTTTGCTGAGGGAATTAAAGCAAAGCCTTTATGAGCCACCTGATTGATTACTTGGACAGCTGCAGTCTGGGCTATCCTTGCGGTTGCAGATGATCAAATTAGAACAAACAGTAGATGACATCTTGATCTGCGACTACTAAAAATTCATTAAATGGCCTCGTCATCGTTGGATTCAAGTGCTTAGTTGGTATGCCTGAATAGGGCTTGCTCCTGTTGAAGACTCCAGCCCCGAAAACTGTCCGATATCATGGCCTTCAAGAGTTTGGAATTCTTTGTTTAAACCAAGGGCGAATTCCTCCGGCCGAGCTCCACCACTTCGTATGTAATCTGCAATCTGCATCACAAGCCCAATCTTGCATTTACTTTTTAATAACAATTATCTTAGGGCAACTAAGGCTATGAACTTCGAGTTCAAAACTCATTTTTAAGTGCATTGGCAAACGATAATCAAATGGGATAATCATGCTGGTGTTGTTGCTTACGTGATTGGCAAGAGCCATCCCACTCAAGGCTGCAGACTCCAAATTTGAACCCAGCAGCCAGTCACCACATATACCAGCCCTTCCATGAGGGTCGAATATGCATGGGATTCCTGGAGTGTTCGTTGGAAGGGCTGCACCCCTGCACCACAAAGAAGATAGAGGATAAATTTAAGGACCAACATTTCCATGATATTCTGAATTTGACGAGAACTCCCGCACACGGAGAGAAGTGGTCAAATTATTCCCAAATGTCAGTGGCATAAGTTCATTTCTCCAGAAAAGCTGTAAGGTCCTCAAAATGCTTCAAACGGTTGGCAAATATCACAAGCTTTACAATGGTGTCTCAATGAAGTTATGCAAATGAAACCCCGCAACTCTACTAAGCATGGTATCCATAAGAAAGTCATATTACCATAGCTGGACACGAGAATAAATGGGCTGTTGAAGTGAGTCTTTTGGTAGTCCAAGTGCAGCTTCAACACCCTCAAGCATGCCCGTCTTCACCTTTTCTGCTGTTGCAGTTGGGATATTTTCCTAAATATCACATTTGTGGCAATTACCACTATCAGGAAAAAGTTTACTCATCATATTCAAACCTTAATACTCCAATAAGAAATACACATGGCTTAATTCAAATTTCATTTGGACAATTAGAGAGACTACTCATATATGTTAATGTTTCCAGTCTTTGATTTTCCACTTTATTGAATGTCTCTACCCAAAGCTGAAGGCTAGATTTCCAAAATTTAGGCTTGCATAATTCAACCATTACACAAAGGCTTAGGTCAGGTTGAATACTTGAATTCTCTTCATCACGTTTTATCCGTTTTTCATGATGGAAGAAAAGAAGTAGAAGAGCCTAACCTGTGGAACCTTGTTCCTCTTTCCGTAAGCTGCAGTGCTAAAAAAGGTCCAACAGTGAGGACTATTGGTTTTAGAACCCAAAAGCTTTGCGGAGTTGTTCCCCATCCATGAGAGAGAATCAACTCCTTTCACAAAGGCTCCCTCAAAGGGAGTTGCACCGGTTGGAATAGGAAGGGGATCGTCAAATGCTGCCAGCAGGGCCCATATGGAGCTCAATCCTAGCGTCTACAAAAACAGAAAGGTCAAATCAATATTTCAAAACTTACAGGCAATATAGAAGTTAGTAAAGATGAAGCATAGGCTACCTTACAGTGAATAAACAAGACAGTTTAGAATATACCTTCATTTGTCTTGCAATGAGAGGCAAGCCTGATGATGCAAGCAATCGATTTGCACATTTTCCTGTCAATTCAATAAAAAAGTTACTGCTCCCGAAAGCCATGGGTGTATTGCACAGAACGATAGCAAGCAATTAAAGATGGTAAATAGTGATTGACAGTCCATGAACCACCAGGAAATAAGATTTATAGATTCATTAAGATCCACTAACCAAGTATTACCAATGAAAAAGTAGAGAACAGCATGCTTTCAAATCTTCAATGTGTGCTTATGTTTACACAGAACAGAAAGGAAACTACACTCAAACTAATAGATTTTATATTGATAGCAGAACAAGTGATGCAAGCACACTGTTATCAGTATATGGGATTGCAAACTGTGAAACACATTCATCAGTAAGCCCGATTCACCTGTTCTAACCCATAAGGTTTCAGTTCAGTTCCTATTATTCCATCCTATATTCTTCACTAGATGAATTTGAATGATGAAACCACATGTCACCTATTCGCTTGTGATTTTATCCAGTTTTTTCTTCAACTCTCCAGAAGAAATACAAGTGAAAACATTAGATGCTTGCTTGGCTCTTTAAAATACTAGCCACATTAGAAGAATATCAAAATCCAGTTGGTCAGTATGCATTGTTGTGTAACTATACAACCAATCAGTGGTAAATATGTCACAGTTTACAGCAAAAACAATGGGCCCAGTCTAAACTGATTTAAACTCCAAATACCATTTCACTCACAAACTCATAGAGAACTTTTCTCACTTTCTTCCCTGAAAAATTAATCTGTCTACGCCATGTTTACAACTATTACAAAGCCAATCTGGGACTTGGACCAAGGTAGAAAGTATTGCCAGGTTGTCAGCCAGTGCATACCCAAAGTAGCACTTCACGATCACGAACCACATGGGGCCATAAAAACCCGACCAAAATTAGTTTTATCACACCTTCACTAACTTTGAAGCAACCCAGGGCTGAACAAAATGCAATTACCTCCGTTTGTTAAAGCTACACTTTCCAGACAAAGAGACATTCAGGCTAGTCCTAATGTCCTATCTCTAAATAGAAAAGATATCAATAATCTTCATTTCAAGACACTCAAGCAACAGAAATGCATTAGAAAAATCATTGAATTCATGTGTTGGCCAAAGTAGAATAACACATCTACTTCAGCATAAAGAAAACATAGTACAGCACTCATAAGTGTTCAAAATGTATTTATTTTCTCTTGTTCTAAAGGTACCCCTTCTACTTATTGGGCTGTCACCCTTGTGATAACGTGTCAGAAATTTAATGAAATGCAAAAGCTTTTTTTTTATGGTAAGAATAATAAAATGCTGAGATATGGCCAGAATAGATAAATGAAGGAGTACAAAAGCAAATGAGAGAGATGTTGATTCACCATTATGTGCTATAACAATGATATCAAACTGCCCACAAGGTTTTCCATTCTCGCTCAAGTGCCACATCCCATTAAATGGTTCGAGTTTACTTATCCAGCAAGGTCTCACCACATTAACCATGCAAGTCTGCAGCAAGAATCAAGAATCTGCTTAGCAATGACCTCAAGGATATCATAGATAGAGAAAGAGCGGTACTATAAGTACCAAAGAAACTATGTTAATGGCTGCTGCTTTATTTGTTCAATAAAATTTCACCTTTTCATTTCTCATGATAAGGGTAGTTGAAAGCTGATGAGAAATCAACAAAATGACGAGTAGCTAACAAATTGGCAAGAAAGCAACAAAATGATCGATCACCTGAGATAGTATTGAGTCAGCAAGAGAGCGCATTCCGTTAACGCTGATATATCTTGGGGTTGAAGAAGAAAATGGAACAAATTGACCTCCCACTTCAAGCTCTCCAATTATACCTTGCCACTGTCGAACTAGACCTTTCTCCAACCAGTCATCAACCAACTCAGAAAATCGAGGATCACTCACAGTAAAGAACTGCGCCGCATGATCAAATATCAATGGTTGTGGATCAATTACTCTAGTTCCCATCCTCCCTCCCAAACCATGAATCCCCTGAAATAGCATAGCTTGTGAAAAACCCAACATTTTATCAACTTTTTTTTTTTATCTGCAGGAAATAGAGTCCAAATGTCTACTGAACTGAAATATGTGTAAAATAAGAATGATATTGTTTTCATTCTGCAAAGCAAAAGCATAAACACATATGCAATAAAATTAATCTAATATTAAACCATGCAGCTACGACTATCAGAACTTAATAATTACTATTAATCATTTGATTATTTGAACAATTATTCATTCTAGAAGATATAAACAAACATAAAAAACATTGAAGCTTTTTTTTTCTTTGTTTCGATTCATTTAGCATACAATTAAGTAAAGGAATGTCACTGCCTTAACTTTATACAAATGTATGAATCTCCTTCACAGAAAAAAAAAATTAAATTCTAAAATGCAAGTATACAGCCTTTCTTGTAAGCATTCACAACACAAAATATCCACAAAGTAATAAAAAAAGAAACCCAAATTGAGAAAACAGTGCTAAAAGGAAATAACTGACCAACCGTGTCAAAAACAGTGGACTTGACCCCTCTTTTCTCCAAACTCAAAGCACAAAGCAGACCAGCCATTCCACCACCAATAATCCCTACATGAGGATCGCTTGATAATTGAGCAGTGAAAGTAACCTGTTCTTGAATGAATGTTTTCTTGAGAACTGACCTTCTAGAGGTACCATATGATGATTTCCTGGTTTTCTTGGATGTGGGTTTGCGACCATCCATGGTGGGGTTTTTGTTGTTTGGTTTAGAAATGGTGCAAGTGAGAGTTTTTATGGGTTCGGAGCGTGAAGTTGAGAGTGATTTTTTATGGGTTTTGATTTTGAGAGGTTGGAGAGTAAGAGAAGAGAGAAAGGAAATGGAGGGGATTGAGTGAACCAGAGTGGCCATAGTTTTTGGAGGGAGAGGAGAGAGATATGGAGAGGCCTCAAAAGCTTAACAAGAGGCATCAAGTACATAAGCATTTCCTTCCATATTTTAACGTGAGGAGTACTATCAGCCGTCTCTTGTCCTAAAATTTTAAACTCGAGGAAAAACTGCCTTGGATAGTTGCCTTGCATGTCCATGTGTTTACCCCTTAATAATTTTCAGAAAGCTACCATGTTAAATTTTAATATTTTGTGGAGATTAAATCATCCTTTTAAAATGATTAGAGGTTTGAAGTTAATTATTCGGATGAATTTCTTACCCCTTAGGCGAGGTTGGCCTGCTTTTTTTTACCGAATTGGAGAGATGCTCTTGGAAGTTCAAGGATACATAGTTACATACCACATGGCTGTAAAAGCATGCACTAATTAACGAGACCCTGTGGCTAGAGACTGCTCAACGTATATGCAGATGGCGGCAACCAAATCCTCAGCAAGTCCTGTTACGAAATCACCCAAACCCACCTTTTGTCCCTCCCTTTAGACATGACTGCCGCTCGTCTACCTTATTGGAGGTGTGTATCGACACTAGTCAGAATATTGAATGGTCATGCAACCATAGTCAACTCTGGGGATGTGAATATTACTTGCAGCAGATTCCAACATTGTATCAGTTCTACGTCTAGACTACACTTCCGAAGTTTACAAGGGTTGATATCCGTCAGAAATCGAATTTTCAAAGCACGGCAATGACAGAAGATAAGATTACAGATAGAACAGCCTACGAGTAGAAACTTCATTCAAACATCAAAAACCTCGCCCCGTGTACAATATAATATAGCAGTTACGAAAGTAGAGGGTTCTACAAGTTACATGTTTCAAAATGAAGAAAACAACCAACTAACCTGACCAAAACTAGTGCCTTGAGTTTCCAAATAACATACGCAGGAAACCCTCTTGGGTGAAAATACATCAGACGAAAACAACAGATTCGGTCCATATTAGAATCAGTAACTCTTTTGATAACATGATATGTACTGATAACTTACATAACATATACAATTCACAGACACAAACGGTTTGGAAAGGGGGAAAAAGGTTAAGAGAAGAAGAAAAAGAAAAGGTCATCTCAGCTGAAAAGTAGGCTATCTCCTCTCCAAACATCCAATATGATGATTAAAGCAAATTCAAGATGTTTTCCCACTTAAGAGTTAGTAAAAACCAGCAGTTCATGACTGAACAGATATGTCTGCATTTGTTGGCCCAGCAATCTTCTCAGGATCTGCTTTCATTGCAACATGATCCTGTTTAGATCGGTCTTTGACTTTGCGGATGCCATTAGCAGTCTGTGGACTTATCTGAACCTTAGCTTTGGCAGTGTTGGCACCAGTTGAATGCTTGTGGCTACCAATGCTGTGGCGATGGCGAGCACAATGTTTGCCCACTTCCTCCTGAGATGTTCGAACTGCATCACTGCAGCTTTTTCTCCGGTTTAGTTTCGGTGATTGTGGTCGAGTCAATGGTAACTGGAACCAAACAAAAAACAAGAACTGAATTATTTTGGCATTAAAAAAAAGCTGCCAGTAGATTTAAATCAGCAGCCTTACACCACTGTGCATCACACTAGCAAATAACAAAATCATAAGCATTTTTAATTTCTGGCAGTTGCGAACCATGAAGCTTGAGACACCATGGCAGAATGCTCTGCGCCTTCAAAATATTCCCCCCTGAAAAAAATCCTAGTTGCATGCCACCTTCCCTAGCTTTTCTTATACGGTCCAAAGGTTTTAACCAACTGTGGTCTTGAACAAAATTCAGACTCGGTTCAGAGAACAGACTTCTTGCCTGAATGCTCTGAATAAAATACTGTTCCATGGAAATAGGTAAATTGCATTTTGAATGAACTAATTAGACCAGTGCATCTGGTATCCTCTATTTGTCGTGAATTATCTATGAAGTGCTGCATGGATTTTTGCTAGTTTCATTTAATGTTTAAATCCAAGAACCAGCAGAGAACTAAGAACACTATCTGGAAGAATACCTTCTTGAGTTCAACTTGTGGTGGAGGTGGCTCATAGTAGAAACTGGGCACTGGATTTGCTTTGTACAGCATGCTCTTTCTAAGCTGCTTGATGGCTGCTTCTTGCTCTTCCTAGAATGAAGGCAGAGAAATTCACTGGGATGTTAATTGGGAAAAAAAAAAAACATCATAGTCATCGACTACCTATCCACAAACTTGCATAAAGAAAAGAGTATACCTTGGTCCTTGCCTCAGCCTGGCTTCGCTCTTTCTCCAATGCTCGGTGCTTCTCTTCCAATTTTGAATAATACTAAATAACAACAATACAACAATAACAAAATCAACAGAAATCCATCAGTTAAGAAAAAGAAGAGCAGACAAAGTTTTATATAACCATTATGTTAGGAAGATACCTCTTTCCGCTTCGCTGCACGTTCAGAAGACCTAAAAGTTGGGGCAGTTCCAACAGTTACAGATTTAACAGTTCGTACAGATGCAGAAGTGCTACACATAGCTAAGGATAGCCAATCGGTAAAAATATATAGCCAAAATATAGTTGCATTTATTCTATAAAATTTCAAGCGGTTTTAATTTTTTGGCAGAAAACACAGTTTAAAACCCTGAAAATATCAAGTGCCTTAAATCAGACAAAGGATACGATGAGGTCATGGACCAACTATCTTCTTCATCAAGATGCTTCTTGTTATCAGGTTGCCAAGGCTTCCTTGCTGTAGAAGGTGAATTTTGCTGAAGGAAAGAGCATGATTAATATCAGTGAAAATGTCAAATACAAATACATGACAAACATGCTTTTTTTTCATGTGTATTTGTGTGTCCGGGTGGGGTGAGTTGGTCAATGGTGCTCTCCAAATGCCAAAATGAATTAAGCTTCATGGTTTTTCGTACCAGTTAACTTGAAGGTATGCAAAGGAAGTGAATCATATTTATAAGCGAGGGTTTGAGATATATTAGCTATATGTATCTTTCTGATAAATCTGTTGTCAGGTAACAAGCTCGACAAAATTATCCAAGGAATGGACATCCCCAACTAAATTAAGTAACGATGCATGCAATCGCACCCACAAAATATCACCAGGAAAAGCAAGTAGAAAACAGCATGTGCATTGAAACAGAAACAGAAAGTCTCACTAGTTCTCCAAGCATGTGTTCCAAATATCTTAAAAGATAATCTCTTCATTCCAAAAGAAAGATGTTTTCAAAATTTTGAAAAGAGATGAACACGAGCTGTGTTCTGCTTAGAGAAATTCACAGTCACTACTCACTAGAGTTTACTTCAAAATGATAGATTTTCCTTTTCCCTAACCCTACAGCACAAGGTAAGCATAAATGTAGCTTATCTACATGTCAGGTTTGTTTCCAAATTCCACTTATAAAGATAGACTTGGCTTAATCTGACATGGAAAGATAATGAGTTCATTATAGCAGTTATTATCAATTTCAACCAAGTCATCGAGTATGACAACAGCATCCACCAAATGCAATGTCGAAAGTTCCAATTACCTGTGAATTTTTCATACTAACAGGGGACTGTGTATTGTTCGAATTTGTGGAACTGTTCCCACCAACATGCTTGTCATTTGCCAGAGCAAATGGCTGGGGGACAGTTTGATGAGCACGATGAGCATGTTTATTTCCATCAACACCAGTTTTTGGTGAGGGAGAACTGGAATTTTTATCATCACTCAATTTCTGAGCTCCAGGTTTCTCATCTTTTCCATCATATGGGTCAGCATCAACATTTGTGCTTTTGACACCAAGCACATCTTGCTTCTCTGATTTTTCAGCAGTTTCTTTCTCCACATACTCCTTTGCTTCAATGACAGCTTTTGAAAGTTTTGGAGAAAGATGTACTTCATCATGAGATACGCCATGAAACTTCGCTGCAAGACCATTTGGCTTCTTATCCATGTCTGCACGCTGAAGTTCTCGCCCCATCAAACTGCACGAAAAAATAATCTTGATATCATGATGCTTCACAAAGAAGACATTTTTAATTCATGAAAAAGAATCACTTCCTTAAAATAAAACCAAAACGGCCTGTAAAGCAAGAACTATTTGCATGTGGTGCCAAAAGGTTTCAAATTCTGTTATTGCTTTGAACAATTTTTTTGAAACAAATAGTAACTGCCAGATGTGTAAAATTCAACCAAGAAACCTAAACACGTCTATCCGATGATGGTGCAAGACAAATCTCAGTGTTTGAATTGAAGAAAAGATGGCATATCTCATTGCAAAAGCAATGGATATTTAAACAGTCAAACAGATACGCCGAGGAAAAAAAGAAAGAAAGAAACAGAAAGTTAAAGCTGGAAAGAGAAGATCTACAAATAACTAACCATGGAAAAATAAGTACAGGAGGATTAAGACAACCAGTTTAGAACAGGATATAATGTGCAGAGAACTCTTGAATCCAAAAAATATAAATTATAACTCAAAGAACCCCAAAAAATTATGTGAAAAGTGAAATTCCTTGTAAAGCTATGAACATCAGCACTCTTTATGTATGCTCTAGTAGGTATCGGTTAGTTGTCCAACTAGCTTGATTTTTATCAAATTCCATGCCTTGACATCAACCACTACATCTGCTTAGGGATAACTAACTTATCGTCTAACTAATTAAAAAATTATTTTTCTTTAAAAAGTAAATAAAATACTCTTTACACTGTAATTTCATCAAAATTTAAGTGGGTGATCAAAGAAAATAAGGGATCAAATCGCAGCAAACCAGCACAGTATCCCCCCCCCCCAGACAGAACCAACTCCATATAATTATAAAATTCAAGAAACAGAAAAGCAAAGGGAATGTGTTGAAACCAAAAAAAAAATCAATTGAAGATGAGAGAAAGAAAGCAGATACAGAGGGCCAGAAACAGATTATCAATTTTTGTTTGTTTAAAAAAGAAAAACATTTCTCGAGTTAGGAAGACTCCTTAAAAAGAGATACAAAGAGGAGGTCCAATTACCATATAAATAATCATACAACTCAAAACAACACCATAGCCACCACCAACTTCGTTCAATGACTAGAAAAAGAAAACCATTAAGATCCCAAAATCCCCATATTCCTACAAAAAAAAAATACACAAAGAAATGCATGCAAAACAAAAGGAACACATCATATATATGAAAGAAAAGAGAAAACAAACACAGCAAGAAGAAGAAGAAGAACAGAAACACCAGCAAAGGACTCAAACTTTATATCATCAAAACCAAAACAAATAGTCTCACAACTTGGAAACCACCAGAAAAATGTAAGACTAAATATTGCTAGGATCTCTCTATTCTAACTAACCAACAAAACCCCTTTAAAAATGGACTAAAATTGATAAAGACAACATTTTTTAACCCAGAACAAAAAAACCCAAAAGGCAGAAATTCAAGAGGAAACCATTTGTGAGGAGAAAAACCTTAAAGAAGCAGTGAATGAAAAAGATCAAAGAAACAACCTTTTAGATCAAGCTACATTGTTTTTTGTTTACAAAAACAGAAACAGAAGACAGAAACCCAGATGAAACAACTAGAATGTGATAAGATTTCATACAATTCAGGTCCGATCTGGCAAGATCTTGAGCTTCCCACCTCTCTCGCTCTCTCAAAAAAGAAAACAAAGCCAAAATGTTTTCTGTGATTTTGCTTTTTAATAGCAAAGAGAGGCTTTTTTTTTTTTTTAATGTTGAGCTGTTGGGTTTCATACGTAGATAGCAGTTTTTTCCGTTTTGACGACGTTACTTGACGGCGTGGTTAAATATTCTGTGATTTTATTTGAAAAGGGAGAGAGGGAGGTGGATAATGTGATCTTCTATACCCATGCCTTCGATAAATCCGTGATTAATTTTACTAATTCTATAAATGAATCAGTGTCTTCTTTCTTTTACAAATAGGTCCTTAAACAATATTGGTAATGTTCATTCATAATTGATTAGTGGACTTTGATGTTGTTGTTTCGAAAAACAAATTCAGGCCCTCTCAAACTATTGGCATGTTATACTTCGATTAATATATTCTCATAAATAAAATTAAATATCATGATATATAACTTAAAATCAAATCCTCATAAATTAAATTAATCTCTTCTTAATTACAAATAATATTATCAGAATTTTCAAGCTTTTTTATAAAAGATTCTTTAATTTTATTGCATGATGCATATGTGTATAATATTAGATTGTGTAATTTAATTCAAACCCATATAGTCTAAGTTTACTCAACACTTTACAATATTTATATTTATTATTCTAGTTTTAACTAGTTAGTTTTGCTGTTGGCATGGTAATATTAGATGTAAGAGATATAAAATATAAAAATATAAATAATTACTAGTTACTCCATGTTTAAACGCTATATATTAATTAATTACTAGATTTCTCAAGTCTTTGATAAATATCTTGTAATAATTTATAAAACATATGTATACCTACATCCTAATTCATTTTAAGTATATACCTATAAATTTACACACTAAATGTGAAAATATAATTATTCATAAATCTAAATTTTAAATTTCAAGTGCAATATTATATTTTTTTTATCATAAGAAATAACAAGGAGAAGAATTCAAGTTTACATAGAACTATATTCAAGCCTCCTGGGGAATTTGTAAAAAGAAAAGGGATGGAATTTTCAATTTTTCAAAATTCATGCCCTCGATTGAAAAATGTCTTAAATCTCATTTTCATTTTATTTTTGGTCCACAAGGTTGACTGCAACGCAGTCATGTAAACGGCGTTAGACGACGGCAAAGTTGCGCCGACGTGGTGGTGGCGACACATAGCGCCAAAAAGTCCAACGTCCGCAGCACAAATCTCATTCAAAGATTTTCGGTTCCTTCTTTTTTTGTTTTTTCCATTTATTTTTACTTTAATTTATCTATTTATATATTCCTCAGGGGCTGTTTGTCGGAGATTCTTCTTCCAGGGATGATAATTTATTTTTTGCCCTTTATCTTTAGGTTTTTGTTTTTCTAGCCCTTCTTTTTAGGGTTCTTTCGTCGTTATATTTTTCATTGCAATTAAGGTCACAAAAGTAACTTCAAGGGATAGGAACTTTTTTATTTTCTTTTTAGTTGAGATGTGCAGAAAGTATATTTAATAAAATTAATTTTAATTAACATATATGTTAGCTAGCTCAAAAATATCTCCGACCATTTAGTAGTATCCTAAATTATTTTTTATATGCAAAATTATGTCCCATCACATGATATTACATAAGTTTTTATGCTTTTAAATAATTTTACTTTTAAATAATTTTTTTGCAATATTTCTAGCTTGAATTTAAACTCAAAATAATAAATGGAAAAGGAAACATGGTGATATTGTATTAACAAAATTAATTGCCTTATATACTAAAAATATTTTGCAATTAAATATTTATTAAAATGATATACTTTATATTTATTTTTTATTTTTTATATTAATATTTTAAAATCACCTAAAATATATAATAATAAGCCTTTGATTTAAACATGTTGGACGAGGCATGTAGGCATTGCATGCACGTACTGCAGCTACTGTTATAAACAAGCAGATGCTCATTTAATATTTTTTCGGACAAAACAATAATAATAATAATAAGCCTTTGATTTAAACATTGCATGCCCGTACTACAGCTACTGTTATAAACAAGCAGATGCTCTGGCTGCTCTTATAGTTTAATGCTAGTGATTGTGCTGATAGATTCTTCATTTAGTGCTGGTGGCACCCATGACATGCACATCTATCAATGGCAGAATATATAATTTCATGGCAGGTAGCAGGACTCTATCTGGGAGGGAATGGAGGGAATTAAGAAATGAAAATCTCACTGTACGTAGGGAGAAGATGGTGCATGCCTTTGATTCTCACAAGGAGATCTTGACCTAATTTGTACGGTTGGTTTAGAAGTTTAATTAAGTATTACTCTAAAAAAACATGAGGTTTTTTTTATGAGGCGTTACTGTTTATCCTTTTATCTATTATTTTGGATGGGTTGTGCAAATTTTTATGTTTTTTATTTAATTCTCAAGTTTTCTTTATGATTTAATCATACTTAAAAACCAATTAATTTTAATTTTTTATAAAAATATAAAATAAAAAAAGAGGGTTCAAAATAAAAAAGAAACGTCAAACATGGGTGATATGCTATAAGCTTTACAAAAGATACACTCTGGTCCTTAAACTTTAAAAATCATGTAAATTATATAATTTCAGCAACTTAATATTTTTTTAAATCAGTTTTGATACAAAAATTTATTTTTGTTATTTCATTAGTTTCTAGTTAAGAGATGCAAGAGAGAGGCTACGTAAATTCTAACATTAAAGAAACAAAAATATTGTCGATGCTGATTTAGGGTACTAAAATAAACACTATTCATGTCAAATGATTTTATTTGACAATAAAAGTTTTTATTAGATGTTTTTTACTTTTAAAACTTGCAAAAAAACATATCTAAACCCAGGTTGATTTTTGGATTTAGGTTGGTTTCAGTTTCTAGAACGGTTTTTAAGGTCATGAACAGGTTTGTCATGATTCTTGCAATAATTTATAGATGTATTTGATCAAAAACAAGTTTCTGGATAAAAAATCTTAAACTTCAATTTCTCAACCAGAACAATCACTAGATATATATAAAAAAAAGAGGGTTCAAAATAAAAAAGAAACGTCAAACATGGGTGATATGCTATAAGCTTTACAAAAAATACATTCTGGTCCTTAAACTTTAAAAATCATAAAATCATGCAAATTATATAATTTCAGCAACTTAATATTTTTTTAAGTCAATTTTGATATAAAAATTTATTTTTGTTATTTCATTAGTTTCTAATTAAGAGATGCAAGAGAGAGGCTGTGTAAATTCTGACATTAAAGAAACAAAAATAGTGTTGACGCTGATTTAGGGTACTAAAATAAACAATATTCATGTCAAATGATTTTATTTGACGATAAAAATTCATATTAGATGTTTTTTACTTTTAAAACTTGCAAAAAAACATATCTAAACCCAGGTTGATTTTTGGATTTAGGTTGGTTTCAGTTTCTAGGACGGTTTTTAAGGTCATGGACAAGTTTGTCATGATTCTTGCAATAATTTACAAGTGTATTTGATCAAAAACAAGTTTTTGGATAAAAAATCTTAAATTTCAATTTCTCAACCAGAACAATCACTAGAATCTAAACAAATCAAACAACGTGTCATTTGTTTTAATAAACAATTTGTTGTTTAAATTGTTTTTTCAAAAAACAATTTAGGACAAATGGCATATTATCCATTCTAGTTGCAAACAAAAAAATCAAGAGCTCAATCACACGGGCCCTAATAAAATGGCTCTGGTGGGCTACCTAGGCTCAAGTAGCGCCTAGCGTTTGCTTCTTTTTTTTTATTGTAAATATTTTAAAATTAATTATTCCTTTTTATATAGTTTTTTCTTATTTTTTAAATTTATATTTAAATTAGTACCTTTTCTCTTTTTCATTCTTTTTGAAGAGTCTATTTTAAATGACAATTATTTTTTTAGTTATGTATTTAAATTTGAAGAATTTTTATGATTTATCTATAAGTATGGATGAACTTCATTTTTTAAAAATAAAAAAAATATTTATAATATGCGTAGACTTGGTTTTTCTCCTCCTTTTATTTTATTCAATCAATTTAATTCAAGTCTCTATTTCAATTATCATTCTCTTAAATAAAAATATTTTAATAAAAAAATTAATAAACATAATCGAGTAAATGTCTTGTATTTGAAGATTAAATATCTTAATCTATATTTGCTTCATAATTTTGCAAGTTTTATTTTTAAATATCATTAATTATTTATTATTTATTATTGGCTCACATGGTTCTTGATTTATTTAATTATATATTCCTTTTTATATAGTTTTTTCTTATTTTTTAAATTTATATTTAAATTAGTACCTTTTCTCTTTTTCATTCTTTTTGAAGAGTCTATTTTAAATGACAATTATTTTTTTAGTTATATATTTAAATTTGAAGAATTTTTATGATTTATCTATATGTATGGATGAACTTCATTTTTTAAAAATAAAAAAATATTTATAATATGCGTAGACTTGTATGGTTTTTCTCCTCCTTTTATTTTATTCAATCAATTTAATTCAAGTCTCTATTTCAATTATCATTCTCTTAAATAAAAATATTTTAATAAAAAAATTAATAAACATAATCGAGTAAATGTCTTGTATTTAAAGATTAAATATCTTGATCCATATTTGCTTCACAATTTTGCAAGTTTTATTTTTAAGTATCATTAATTATTTTTTATTTATTATTGGCTCACATAGTTCTTGATTTATTTAATTATACATGTATATATGTTTCTATTTGAACTTGAATTTTTTAAATTATATAAATACGTTGAAAAAACCCTGCTTGTATAATTTTTTTTATAGATTCATAACTAGTGTGAGCTAGAACATTAGAACAAAAACATAAAGGACATGCACAACAAGTATAATTTATTTGGGCAAGAGAATGGCTAGGTTGGATCTAACTTTAACCTTGGATGCATCATTTGTTATGGCAATAGCAGAAATGTTATGACAATAGAAATGCCTAGAATTTTCCAATTTCACCCTTGCTTGAGCTGCAGGGTCACCCTTGATTACTTCTAAATTTAGCAATGCAATTAAGCACAGCAAAATATTGGTGGTGATGTTGAGTATT